ACAGGTCCGAATTAAGAGTTTGGCCGTAGGGGAGCAGCTCATAGTGAATGATTCCCTGTCAATCCCACCAAACACACAGCAAAGCCTTCCTGACCGTCAATCCTGGCTTGGCCACCGTTTGTGCCGGCTCATCGCGTTTCGACCACGACCGTTTTCGCTTGAAATTGTCGTAAGTGACCCACTTTTCATCACCAGTCACCATCCGCTGCAGAAATTGGTCGATTTTGTTGCGATTCAGCAGCGATTCGCAGATGGAAATTCGTCCATGAGGTTTTTCGTGTGGCACCCATACATCAAACTTCTTTTTGTATCCAGCCTTATTCAAGTGGTTCCAAACGGTTTTTTGTGCAATGTTTAGCTCCTGGGCCATCGAAACAGTGCTTACATGACGGTCGGACTCGACGATTTTCATTATTTTATCGACATTTTCGACAATTGGCCTTCCAGAGCGTGGTGCATCTTTGACATCAAAATTACCGGAACGGAATCGACGAAACCAAAATTGCGCGTGATTGGCTATTACAGTATCAGGACCATAAACATTATTCACATTTTCAGCCGCCTGGCTTGCGTTTTCGCTTTTATCGAAGAAAATGTGGCGTATTTTCTCTTTGCTGGTGTCCATCTTTGACGCGCGCTCAAACAATACTGAGTCAAACAATTACAAAACTGTCTGAGAAGTTTTTTTAGTACGAAATCTTATCTTTCTAACGCTATCTAGCGTAAGCCGATCGCACTTATATAACGCGAGATACACATTACTAAAGCCATCTATTTGAAAAATAATGGATTTCTTTTTACTACACCTTATACATATATATACAATATATATATATATATATATATATATATATATATATATATATATATATATATATAATTACATTTTGTAGAGAAGATTATCTTACTAATAGAGTTTTCATGTTGTCGTCGAGGCGTCGAAGGAAGCACCCGCTTCCTGTATCTGTAGCATTGTATGCTATACAGATCTTCATTTGGATACCACTAAAAGCAAAATAATGTTAATAAAATTATAATAATGTTAACAATATTACTGCGGATAAGTCGAATAACATTTATTTTAATTTTATACCTCTTCCTCTTCATTGTAGGTACGGCATATCTGTTCGAAGAACTTTATTATTCGGGTTTTCAACCGAATGCAATACGCCGAAAATTCCATCAAAAAATCCATATTTAATTCCTGTAACAAAAACCGAAATTCGAGAAATTTGAAACAAAGTCTAAATAAACGTCTATGGTTTGATATTAAGTGTAAAATTTTATTATTTTATGTATATTTAAGTTTCATAATTGAAAATAAATAATTATTTATATGAATTCATGTTTCTTACTTCTAAACTACTTAATTTCACCTTACCAAAAAAATATATTTTTTGAAAATAATCGAAATAATAGTATTTTTTTCTTCAAATACGTTTGATTACTTTTGCAAGCTTACTGGAAAAATTTCTAACGGTTTTCTCCTCGAAACTACGAATTTCCAAAAAAAAACATTTTTTTCGTGAGTTAAAGTGTTTTCTTTCTTTTTCTCCTGAATATTTCGAATATCTTCAACTTTTCGATTTTTGTATCCATTTATGGCTCCTGCACACAGGACGCGGTAATGCTTGCCGCGCGGCGAAAGTCCGCGCGACAACCAATCAATATGTTGTTTTTCTGTAAGAGCTAGAAGGTTATTATGGAAAGCAGCATATTGATTGGCTGTCGTGCGAACTTCCGCCGCGCGACAAGCATTACCGCGTCCTGTGTGCAGGAGCCATTATTCTTTTTCTTGATTCTTTGACGTATCGATAAAAAAAAGTTCAAATTCTATGCATTACATACAAAGATATACACGATTGTAAACGTCGAATAACGCACATCCATGTGCTCTAGAATCGGAAGGCATATCCCACACAGCAGAGGTGTCCAAAATATATCATAGGGATATCCTAAAAATATTAGATTTGAGGCTTTCACGGCCATTGATACAATGTCTAGATATAGCTTCCGGAATGGAGCCGTGTCTTGAATCAGCGATATGCCGACGTTTCGCAAACGTTGCTGGGCAAATGACTTTGCCCATTCCTTTCAGCTTAATGTTTTTATGCATTTTTTGTTATTAGTACGGCTCGCGTCAGATTCTGTATAACAGAGAATATTATAAAATAAAAAAATATTTTTCAGGGTTTGCGCAAAATTGCTTAAACGAATTTTAATTTTACATATAGATAATAAAATAAATATATATGATTACGATACATTATAATATATTATGAATAATATATATGTATTAATATAATAAAAGTTAATAATAATTTATTTTATTATAATTATTATATAATTATATAAAAAATTATTATATAAAAAATTTTATTATTATTATTATTATATAATAAAAAATGGTTCATTAATATAATTTTTCAATGTTCCTCAAATATTGTTGCAACGTTGCAAAATATTGTAATTTTTTGTTCGATATATATTCAATGTTGCAACTATATTTTGTAATCAATGTTGAAAAATCAACATAAATTCCATGTAGAAAAAACGTCTGCTATCTTCATCGTCTCATCAATTTTTTTTCAACGTTCTGTGCTGTATGGGTAAGTTTCTTCTCGTTGCTGGAGTGTCTTGCGCCCTAGCGAGAACATGGAGCTCATGTCACAATAGTATTTCTTATCAACTGAGATAATCAATACCTAATTTCCTTTTTTCATTCAAAAATTCTGAGATATACCTGTGTAACGGAAAGTAACTTTAGCACTGATGAGACAGATGAAGAAAGTTGATCTTGTGGGACTTAATAAGAAAATTTTTCTATTTAACTGACTTTCGGTCGGTAAATTTGTCAATAAAAATGTGTGCAATTAGTGTAAATGATAACTACAGAAATGAAGTTTTATAAAAATATTTAACATACTTCATTGTAAGTATGTATACATAACAATAAAACACATTAAGAGTTAAGTTATAAATTATAAAATGAATACTTCATTACACATTGAATGTCCAAATATTTATATCGGATTATTAAATTAGGTATTAGGTTAGGATAATATTATTCTTCTTTAATTACCTCAAGACTCCTCGGGCTTCTTTTGCCGGTTTGAAAGTTTATCCATATTTAACATCTTTATCACATACATTTATTAAACTTACTTGAATGTATAAAATATCCCAGATGATAATTTATGAAAAATATTTATGAAAAATAAGTGGTAAACATGATACTATAACCTACACAGCATAAATGTTCAAAATACATTATAAATATATTCTAGAGATGTTGCGATATCTTTAAGATATATTTAGCATAACTTAATGATATATTTTGAACATTTCTGCTATATGGGACATTGAAAATAATAATAATAAGTTTAATCCAGACGACGCATTCATAATAAATAAATAATAATATAAAATTATTATATTTGTTCGGGATTCGGCTCGGCGGATTCAGATCTTTTCTAGAATATTCGTCAGGAATATTCCAGCGCTCTAATATTTTTAAGTCGAGAGAGTTATGAGAACATAGAACAATACTGCCGCGCTGACGATGTATTGTGTTGTCGAGTCGAGCTAAACAAAGACCAAATCAAAACAGGATTCAGCGAATCCCGGCTCGATTACGTGGAATCAGCAGCACAACATAATATCGGTGTCTCATCTTTTCCTTCGCCGGGTCGAGTCTCTAACATAAGAAATGATCGCTTGTGTTCAACATCGATTCCGCGATATTCAAGCAATCAGCCAATGAGACCAGGCCGCATGGTCAGAGCGAAAATTATAAAATGGTCGAACAGGGGGTTTAACCGTTAGATAATCCTTTACGACGAGATCATCAACTTAAAGCTAGTCTCGCGACATCCGACATTAGCTCGAGTCAGTACGATTGAAATTCTCGGCCCTCGTATACGACTGTGAATACTCTATCGTGAGGCACACATGGTCAGAAGACGTAATCCAGCAAGAAGAACATTCGTGTCGCCTGGACAACGAAAATAAAATAAATCAGTTTGTTAGTGTTGAAATATAACCTTTATTTTACCATCTCCTCAATCAAGTCGGTCCCAGCAAGAAACTAGACCCGCGTTCGCGCACCCAGCGCTGGGTGAACCGGCATAGCGGAACCGAGACACCAAGCAGCTCGAAATCCACGTACAATGTTTATTTAATTAAGCTGAGTTATTTTAGCTCGAATTCCGAAATTGCCAGATTTATAATTAAGAAACTGATAAAAAGTCCTATCTCTCTCTCTTTCACTCATTTTCTCTTTCACACACACACACACGCGCGCGCGCGCATGTGTGCGTGTGTAATTCAATTAGAAACAAGTTCATTGATCTATGATATGATGGATCCTCCAAAATCATTCACAATCATTTATAATAACGTACAGTTTGTCTTCCCTGAACGACTAGACGATTTTTCTTATCTTCTGTATATAGAAGGAAGACTTTTGGTATAAATATATTGATTGATTGTGTCTCCCTGAATCGTTCTTGCCGTTATATCCTCTTTCTATCTAACGGTTAAGAAAAACATAAAGAATTATCTGGGCAACTTTCGAAGAAATAAAACTGTTATTCAGAAACAGAATCGACCAATGTATTTATGTCCAAAGTCGTCTTTCTAAATACAGAAGATAAGAAATATCGTTTGGCCATTCATCAAAAATAGTCGTAAATAATCGTAAGTAACCGTGAATGAGTTTTAAAGACCTACCTATCACAAATAGATCTCAATGAATAAGTTGTAGATTATAATATTAATTAATATTCTATTTCAAAAAGTCACTTTGAAATCTCGGAAGCGCCTCCATTAGGAACAAAACCGCGCTTATTGTAAGATATTTTCCTTTTAAACTTCCTCGAATCAGGTTTCATCTAAAATTTTTTTTCGAACAAAATAGAATGTTTATTAATAACGAATAATTTGAGAGCAAATCGCGTGAAAATATTAAAAGTAGAGACCCTTTGTAGACCCTTTGTGTCTGTATGTGTATAAATTTAATATAATTTTGTATATTAACTTCTTATTTACCTTTTTTAACATTTTTACTCTTCTTTTACTGATTGCGCGTTACATGTGAGCGGTAACTTCCTGATAAAAACACGTGCGTTATCTAGAGAGAGGAGATTGTCATGAGCGTGGAGCGTCAGGTAGCTCAGTGGTTTAGAGCAGTCGCCCGGCAAGCGAAAGACCCGGGTTTGAGTCCCGGCCTAGTAAAACTGCATTCTCGATATTTTTCTCTCTCTGAAACGAAAAGATACGCAGATCTCGAACGCACGGCGTCCCGCCGCCACCTAGTACGCCCTCCTTCTACTATGGTGAATCAACAGTTATGAAAAACGATCAGCTAGAAACGGACATGGCTGGTCAAAACTTTCTAGTGACTATCGATCTGGGGAATGGTATAGCATCAACGCAACTGAGTGTACAGAAGCCATGGAAGCCTCCGTACCGTCCGACCGCCGACAATCGATACCGCGACTCGATACGGCAATATTTGTTTCTGGTTAGTCTCCGCCGCGATCAAATCAGGCGCGATCCTTCTTTCCCTCTTTCTCTCTCTTTCTCGCTACCTCCTTCGCTCTCTCTCTCTCTCTCTCTCTCTCTCTCTCTCTCTCTCTCTCTCTCTTTCTCTCTCTCTCTCTCTTTCTCTTCTTTCTCTCTCTCTCGCTTCCTCTTTTGTTTCCTCCCATGTTTTCTCTTTCGCTTCCTCCCCTTTGCCTTTTCCCTTTTTCGCTCTCATTCTCATTCGTTCTCTCCATCTCTGTCAGAAATATTCCCTGCTAACGTAGATGGTAACGTAGGTAACGTAAATCCACTCCCCATCCCAATCATTTTATTGATTCGACCAAGAGAATTGAGCTCGCCTCCACAAACTGGGGAGATGACTCAATTTGCTTAGGTATTATTCGCATAACGCATTATTCGCATAACGCAAGATATGTTACCTGCTATCTTGGCTGCAGTTCCAGAGCTCGTGCTCACCAGAGTAGTTCGCGGCTAGAAAAAAGCTCACAAAAGACGAAAAGTTTGTACAGCAAAGTTTCAAGTTTTGTTATTTCGTATCTCGTTATTTCGCGCGCATGATATGGAGAGAAAACTCTGATTTTTGAAATGCTAGTGCGTTCACAACGCGTTCGGTTACTCGAATAACAATCGTACCACGTATGTGTACAACATATTGAGTATGCCAACAAATACCACGATTCAGTTATGGTTTTTTGCTATTGTTACGACCGAATAACCGACTTTCAAATAATTCGAAAAAATGTGTTAATATGTTAAATCACTCTTTGATTTATCGCAATAATTCGGTTGTCTTGTCAAAGACAATTGTGACCGGGTTTTATATATTGGGTTGTTGGAAAAGTCATAACGTATTTTTCTATGTTTTTCAAAGGTCACTTATTTATATAAAGAACAAAGATCAATCAATTATATTGCCCGTTTTGTTTGATAATCTTTTGCCACCTTTCAGTGAGCTTCATAATTCCTCGTTCATAGAAGAATCTGTCTTTATCAACAAAAAATTGAACAAGGTGCTGATTTATAGCCTCATCTGAATTGAACGTTATACCGCGCAAGGAGTTTTGAAGAGAGTGAAACAAGTGGAAGTCTGACGGTGCAAGGTCAGGCGAGTATGGTGTGGCAACACATCCTATCCAAGCTCCAATAATTTTTCACGAGTGATCAAAATTGTGTGTGATCTCGCGTTGTCGTGATGGAACACAATTTCTTTACGATTAACGAGTTCTGAACGTTTTTGGATGATGGATTCGTTCAAACTGTCCACTTGCCGACAGTACACATTCGAATTGATTGTTTGGTTTCTTGGAGCTCAAAAAACATGACACCTTTAAAACCCTACCACACTGAGAGCATAACCTTTCTCTGATGAATGTTTGCTTTAGATGTCGTTTGAGGCAAATCATCACGTCGGGACCAAGACCA